GAAGTCAAATTATTGTCGAGCCGAGCCTCACGTCCCACAGGTCCTCCCCTACTCGACCACAGCCAAATCTTCGAAACCGAGTAGCTATCATTTCTTACACCGTTACATATTCTCTTCCCATTATCACCACCCTCACCAACTCCATCTGCACCCTGGCTCGAGTTTTCCCCTCTCAAGGCCACCCTAAGATTAGCGTTCCCAACCACATACTCATACGACCCCATCGAGTAACACCTCCTTGCATCCACACCCAATTTGCTACTTCCACACCCCTCCCCATTACTCCCCTCCTCCCCTTCATCCGTCTTCCGGAACTTACCCAACCTCACCGGAAAAACCCCCTCCTCCTCTTCCTCCTCCTCCTCCTCCTCTGCCTCAACTTCCTCTATTTCCACACTCTTTTTCATACCGCCACTCCCACTCCCACTCCCACTCCCATCCGAACACGAGTCGTCCACCCTAGACCCGTCACTTTCGAAAATGTGGTTCAGGGCCGGGTCAAGAACCGCCCCACGGCAAAGGGGGCAGGTCGAGTTTGTCACAAGCCAGGTGTCGATGCAGCCCATGTGGAAAGCGTGGCTGCACATAGGGAGCAATCTCAATCGATCGCTTTCGGTAAATTCGCACAAACAGACGGCACAGTCAAAGGGCTCTTGGGCATCCCCCAAAATATCCTTGTACGTGAAAACCGGCAATATATCTATGAGGGATTGGTCCAATCCGGAGTCGTGCAAGTGGAAAAGCTGCTGAAGCTGCCTCTGAAGGGCATTTTGGGCAGACGGGTCGATTTCTGTGCTGCTGCCGGTGGTGGTGGTGTTGGGTTGGGATTTTTTGGTGAAGAATCGGACGAGCAAGTGTAGAACGCCGGATAGGAAGAAGAGGAGTGCTAGAATCACGATGGCGTAGAGGACTGATGGGCTGATTCTGTTAGGGCTTGTTTGTTTCAAGGGATTGGGGCTATTGGGATTGTAGGAAGAAGATGGTGAGGAGGAGAAAATTGACTCATCTTTTGGGTTGGTATGGTAATGAACCCAAGAAAATTTCAATTGGGAGGGCATTTTTTCCTTGATTAAATGAGAAAGCCAAATGAAATCATCTCAAAACTGATATGAACCATGCTAACTCACAATCTCTCACAAGACAAACAGAGCACTGTAAAAGCTCAAATCTTTAGCCTTCAGATTTGTGCAGAGCAATTAATTAAAAAGAAAAAAAGAAAAAAAAAAAACTATATATGTACTTAAAGGTCGACACTTTTCACATACCTTTGACACCATAAGAAGCAAAAGCTGCTTCTTTGACGAATAAGAAACATTCGGACCCAACACATCCAGAATGTTTGAAGCTGCAAAAACCTAAGGAAAAACGAAAAAAACAAAGAAAGAAACAGCTTCTGGCTTCAAAATACTGCAATAATTACAAGAATCAGCTTTTTTTTTACGTTTAGATTAGAAGGAAGAGAATTTTTGTAAACCTAAAATTGTTGTAACATCTCTCATACTTAAAGAATGTGCATAAATGCGGAGATAATGCCCCCATGGTGATGGGTCGGGTGGTCTAATGCAAAATTTCGCATAATTTACAGCTATTGCGTTGAATCTTTACCCGAGTTTCCAATTTTAAAATACACAAAAACGGAGATACCACCAACATTCATATCTCAAATTCTCAATCAAGTCATACATATGGACTAAACACACCGTGCGGAATCTCTTCTTTTTCTTTCCTTTTTTTTTCTTTTTTTTTTTCAGAAGAAAAAAATCGTTTCACTAATTAGTAATTACTGAGTGAATGTCTAATGTTAAGTTCCATCTATTTATTTTTTTTAAATGAAAATGCATACAAATACTATAAGATATCTATCATATTCATCTTTTTTTTAGAATAAAATTGCATACATATACTACAAAATATCATATATTTTTTTATTATAACCTACTCTTTCATTTAATGAAAAAGAATGGGTGTTGTAATTTGAAAGATTTATTTTTGGCAACAAGTTCATTTTCAATATATTGAAGATATAAATTTAAGGGATGATCTTCGTTTATGTATTAGTGCAGTACCCGTGGGATGCACAGGCTAGTTTATTGAGGTCAACATTTAGATTCGGATGATTGAATGGTTGTAATAACGTAAAATGCATATATTGGAATAAACAAAATGTAACTTATATATTACTAAACACATTCTTGTACACAATATTATTTATTTGGTCTTTTGGTACATCGTCTATCACCATAAATTATATTAGGATGCGAGATAGACTTAAATAAATCAGTAAATTATTTAGCATCATATATAATATATTTTGTAATTGTATGCAATCATTATTTATTTTATAAGGGTATGCAATCAATTTCATCTAAATGATTAAACAAAACCCAAATTTTTAGGATGTTCCAATCCGATTTAATTTTGAATTGAAAATTAATAGTATCTGACTCTATTTTATGTTTAAAAAAATCTGAACTAAAGAAAGTAATAACCAAATGATAAAATACTTTTAAGTTTTAATTTTCAATTTGATATTGGGCACGAATTCTAGGCAATTCGACTTTTTTAATAAGCATTATTTTTTGTAATTAGGTAAACATACATGTTTAGTATTTTGCGTAATTCAAAATTTCTGATTTTATGGTGTACAGACTTTTTTAGTAAAAATAATTTTTACTTTTATAAAATTGTCATGTCAAATTTTACATAATTTACCTGACTTCTATGCAATTCAATGTTTTTAATAAACAATTAGATGTTGCAATTAGTAAAAGGTATATGTGATAGAATTTTGCCTAATTCGAAATTCCCAATTTTATGGTAATCATTTTTTTTTTCTTCAATAAAAAATGAGAA